AAAACAGACAAAACTCCAAATGAAGCTGAGCCTGTGTGTGCATGCTGTGATTCATCTTATTACAGAAAAACCTAATAGCCTAGAAAGAGGAGGCAAGCGATCTGAGAACAGGTGTGCTTATCGTTATGTGAGTTGTGCCAGTTATTTTTCAGCACCTACTGTGTTAAACCCTATCATGGACACCTGGGAAAGGTAATAAAACTCATTTTATAAATTGGATTTGACAGTAAGTTCTGTTTATTTGCTTTGTGCAGTGATACCACAGCAAAATACAGTAGAAGAACTTGAATAAAATACAGCTCAGTTCCTCTAGGCACAGATAATTAATTTGTGACAAAATCGCTTTATTTAATACATTGCTATTGAAGACAATCAAAGTCCCATTGTCCTGCGGACACTCCTTGTTTGGAGAGCCTCCAGTGAAGATGCAGAATGCAAAGATGAGTATTTTTACCCCCACCCCACCCCCGTCTGCAGGGGCAAAGGAGAGTAGTGGACTGATCACAGGCTTTTCTACCCGGGGAAGCTATTGCAACATAAGCTAAGCCTGTGAGCATCGAAATCTATACTGATATCTATAGTCAGCTCCTTGCAAGGACACTCATATTCTGTTCTAAGCATGTTTTTGGGTGGCTGCTACCAAATTTTTCAGCACATGAAAGGTGGCATAAAGGCACGTGCATGGTGAATTAGAGCAGGAGACTCAGTCTGCATCGCTATCCCAGCCTGCTCTCCCAGCGTGACGTATAGTGAATGTGCATTTGTTTATTGTGGGATAGTTGAGGCTTTGCTGTCTCTTGGCTGACGGAGATGTTTGCAGGAGGGACACTCAGACCCAGGAAGTGGGAAATGCTTCTGGTTTCCACCACATGGGTGTTTTTTAATGCAATGGGGCCTGGATTGCTAAATGCAGATGAAGAGATTTGGAAGGAACTCTAGGAGCTGAATGCAACCCATCATCCTTCCACAGAGCTTTGGAGCACAAGGCAGTTTGCACAGCCCATAGAGTAGAGTTGGTTCTCAGAAGATCCTCATGTTTCTGGTTAGCCTTGGTTCAGCTGGTTGCAAGTAGGTCTGGACCAAATTTGGGTGGGACAGATGAAGTGTCCTAATGGGGACACGAGAAGGACTGCAGAGCCTCTCTGCCACTTGTGTGATGCAGAGTGGCACACCTCCATAACCCACATCATCTGCTGCAAACGAGATCTTCCAGTTGGCCACCTCTCACATCCCCAAAAGACTCCCGTAAGTCATGCCAATGTGGGCCTTGGTTTAGCTTGCCAGGAATGTACAGGCCATTTTGCCATGTCTGGACATGACTCAGTTGATTAGCAGATAAATAATTTTAATAAATTACTAAGTTAATGGTTCCTCTGGACTTCTGATTTACTAAATGTACAGTGTTGTTGCAACAGCCCTGTTAAATTTGGATGCATGATCAGATGGTGAACACACGTGCACAACCACTTTTACCCACAGTGCTGCTCTCACCAGTGAGGATACCCAGCATCCAAGTCAGAGCTAAACAAAAAGGGTTGAACCAGTTGCCTACCAAAGAGACCAACGTTTGTTAGCCTTACTTACGTGCAGAATTATGTAACAGTCCCCTTCAAAAAAAGTCCCATAAGCCTTTTCAGGTACAGGAACCATCTTCATATTCTGTAAGAAATGAGTGTCATTGCTAGAACTTCAGAGCCGAAGTTGGTGGGTGTGAAACAGGACAGCTGGGGCACACGAAATACAGGTGACAGAGTTTGGAGAAGGAAGAACCAGGGCTGTGCTTATAGGCTGGGAAAAGTCACTTCAGGGGGAAATCCCAAAAGTACTAAGGAATGAGAAGGAGCAAATGATAATGCTGCTTGGCCAGATTGACAAGTATTTTTAACTCTCCTTGCCCCTCTGCAATCCTGTAGGTCTAGAGCAAGACGACTTAGTGGTCAGGCCAAAGTGCTCCAGAGCTTGCATTTGTAGGAATGTCCTCACTTTCCCAGGGGAGTGAGCACATCTCTTCCTAGGTTTAGTTTTGGGGCATGTTTTTCACTCGGTATCCCTAAGTTCAAGGTTAACTTTCAGAGCTTTGTTAGGATAACCACTATGCCAGGGATACATAGCAACTAGCAGTGCTGAGAAAAGACAGACTTGAGGAGACTGATGTGTCCCTCACCCCTCCAGACCCTAACTGCATGCTTCATCTGGTACAAATGCACAACTAACCAGCCATGCCTGCCTAGCGTAGGTGCCTGATGTGCCACCCATCAGTACACAAGCAGTTCCTGGGCTTGAACTGGCTTTGTGGTTCCCTGGAATCAGAGCCATACATTCTTCTGGTAGCCTAACTTGTTTCCCAGCACACCAGCCTGACCCTTGTGAACCGACACATCTCTAATTACAGATCCTCTGGAAAGAATCTTAGTACAGTGCTTTGGAGACAAATGGAAAGGCAAAGACCCTGTGATACTTGAAACATAGCTGGGATCTGTAGAGGGCCATCACTACTTGGAGACACGTGTTGGACCCCCTTCCCCCTGCTCCCCTGAGTGGACTCTGCACCTCATTCTAAGCCCTCTTGCATTGCAGGGAAATGTTCTTGGCGAATTGGGACAGAAAAAGGCAGAATTGAGCACAGTCTGGCTTCAAACCAAAAGCAAACACCACATCAAGCAGAAGGTGACCTTGCAAGCTGCAATATCTCTCCCTGAAGTGACCCATCAATCAGAGTGGGAAAGATAAAGATGAAGTGCAAATAGACTCCATGGGATGCCTTTGCTGTAAAAATGGGTGCCTTCCCCATGGCAGCTGCTGGTATAGGCTGGGGTTACCTATGCATAACCCCTCTTCTTGGTGAAACAGGTAATCCATCCCCAGTGTGCTAATGCAGACTTGCATAGGTTCCTGAAGGGGGTGAGAAAGCCTCCAGTGCTGGAGGAACAGCTTCAGTCCCACCACATTTGTATTTCCTTAGTCAATATTATCCCTGTTTTACAGAGCAAGAAACCAAAGCAACAATATGTTGAAAGTTGCATAGGGAGAATTTGGGTCTCCTGTTTCCCAATGTATCTTGTCTGTAACACCCTCTTTTCCTGCCCAGATTACTTCAAGAATATCTCTTTCTTGAAACATATACACATACACATGCAGAGGACATATGCCATCATTGCCTCTTGTCATACCTCTATGCCCCATATCTGCAGTCCCAGCTTTCTCTCGATAGTTGGGAGATTTGTGTCACCGTCTGTCATCCTGCAGTCTGTGCTAGAAGGGAAAGGAAGAAGAAAAAACAAAATAACTATATAATTGGATACAACAGTAAGTGTTCCTCTTAAGGTCAGTGGAGGTTTAATACAGATAATCCACACCATGAAGTGTCTCTATCTCTCTGCTGACTATGAAGAGAGAACAGCTGTAATTATCAACAGTTAGGTGGGATGAACCCGCACTCCCAGGCTATCCATGATTATGGGGGGCCAAGAAAAGTGTAGGATCACAGCCCAGCAAAGACTGGATAGGAGACCATTGTTCTTGTGTGGGGTTATTCTTCCTTTATTTGAGTAGGTGGAAAAGATTTGCCCGTGTGTTGAACGTGACATCAATACTGTTTTATTCCCACCATGGCACGAGGGGTGGCAGAGACAACAGTGGACCTCCAGGAGACCCATGCCCTCTTAGAGCAGCCGCTGGAGGTCAGGTCAGGTACTCTGGGGCACTGGGAGCCTAAGGAATAAAGCCCTTCCACTTCAGGACGGGATTCAGGTCTAAATTTATACACCTGCAAGGTACCTCAGGGCAAGGCACCAAGCTTTCAGCTCCGTAAAGGTCAATGGAGACATAACCAGCACAGTCAGCAGAGCGTACGGAACGATCATAGTCGAGCACCTCCCTAGGCTCTGCTGCCTGTATGTGGAAAAGGTAGGTTTCAGTTACCCACACAAAGGCATCTGGGGACATTTGAGATGTTTTTCGTATCTCCAGCTGCCCCTCTGATGGGTGAAGATCTCCCATCCATCCTCTATCATATCTGCCAGCTGTGGAAAGAAAAAAGGACTACCCTTAGCTCTGCTCCCTGTTTCTACTGCTTGGATAGCTGAGGTTTTGCTCAAGTAGCAACTTCTGAACCCACCTTGTTTACAGGGCAACCTCCTGAAGCAAATCAAACACAAACCCAATGTATATGAAAACACTGGGTTGTATCCTAGCAGAGCTAGCTGGCCCGTGGGGCACAGAAGGTGCCTCCTGAGCAACTCGGCTCCCCTGCAGCAGCCACGGGACAGATTGTGTTTGTGTAGGGGCAAGACCCGTATCAGCTGTTCCTGTATGAATCAATCCTGCCCACAAATCAAGGCCCAGCTTCAGGAGAAAACACGGCTCACTGATTTCTGTGTTTTGCATTCATTTGCTTCGCCAGTGCGCTCCCTGATTTGCATTTGCTCACGACAAACTGAACGATTGTACTATGTTAAAAACAACAACAACTTGATTGACTGCATTTTCTTTTCTCTGGATGAAAAGACTGCACTGATTGTAGGCCACGGCCTCTCCTCTGCTCAGCTGTAGGAAACCACCTACGAGAGGGAACGGTGCCATGGCTGCCTCAACTCGGCACAACAGCTGAGCCACGATAATATGAAAAATAAAAGAAGCTATTGCACAAAGCCATGGAAAAAGCTTCTTCTGAAGGAGGAAAAGAACAAAGACAGATGATCCCCTGCCAGAAGGCGTGTTTGTTGCTCGTGTTATGAGAGCATGGAGAGACGTGCTGCATGCACTTGGCACCATAAAGTCATAAGAAGCAATCGTCCTTCTCCTGAAGAGTTTGCACACTAAGAGCAAGCACAAAAATTGCTGTTCTAAGCAGGAACACTGGTCCATCCAGATCTCCCAGAGCCCAGAGCTGCCAGACCCTGGCTCCTTGCACAGGCAGTAGAGAAGCAGGTAACTCCAGGGGTGTTTTGAGCACAGTCCCAACACCTCTCTGCTTACTGAGCAGTTGGGCAGCACTCAGTAGCAGGAGTCAGACATGATCATTCCTTTCTGAATACAGATATATCTGAAGGACTGTGGAAGACTGAGTCCATGTGGCCTCATGTACCTACCAGGAGCTCATTCAGCAACCTTCATCTCCCTCTCAGGTCCTCCAGATAGCTTCCAGGAAAGAAGACAAAAGGCAAAGAGAAAAAAAAAGACATTTTTCATCTCAATTCCCTGAAAGGTAATTGAGACCCACACAGATTAAAAGCCAGATCCAGGAAGATATTTTAGTGTCTACAGAGGAGCTAGACACTTTTCTGAATGGGGTCCTGACTCACCTACTGTGAAGTCCAGGGTGATCAGGAACTGATGCCAAAAACATGATCCCGGTTCTGATCTTTAAACAAAAGACCTTTCCTTTCTTTCAATGTGGCATTCAAAAGGTCCCAAACAAACCCAAGTGAAGCCTCCTTCCCTCAGGTATGTTTGTAATTTATTTAGGGTTTTCCCTTCCAGCATCAAAACAGGAAAAGGCTGAAAACAAAGCCAGTAAAGATGTTTATATGTGAGGGAGAATTCAGGGGGATGAAGTTTTTTAGCAAAACTGACACTGCTCCCTGTGGAAGGCAGCAGGCGTCTTGCTCGCCTGCTAACAGTGCAGGAAACCGGCAGCTGGCCAGCTGTGAGACACAGCTGGCCCCCTTCTTCTCCCAGCATCCCAATCTCTAATGTCAGAGGAGTTAACCCAAAGGATGCTGAGATTCCTCTGTGCACAGACAGCTGTATTGGACAAAATCCTCCCAAAGCCAGCAACGCTCTACCAATTCTCTCCCAAACCTTTTTGACTCAAAACAGGGATCTTGGATCTTCTCTGATCCTGGGGCTTCTTTCTCCATCTGAAACCTGGCCATTAGCTCAGGTCCTCACTTTTCTGGGAAATACTGTCCCTCCCTTCCTCCTTAGTCATTAAACTGGGGGGATTGTGAAGCACAGACAAGTTTGGCTGTTTCTTTGGCCTTTCCAGCTTCTTTCGGCTGGTGGCCAAGTTAGAAATAATAGGAATATGACTTATATAATCAGACAGTACATTTCATTAATGATTTAATGTGGGTTTTTAATCAGATGAGCCCATAATTCAACTCCTGTCCAGACACAAAATCCAATATTTATGGAGTGAAAACTTCCCATCTGTGCTGAAACCAGGAAGAGCAGAAACTTTTCTAATTTAAAAAGAAAAAAAAAAAAAAAAGGATGTTAAGAAGTTTGGGTTCAGTGTGGGGTTTCAACAACGATGTCCAGGTCAGTTGTTATCTCAATCAAACCAGTTTTGCCCAGTGCTAGGTGAAATGCAAATTGGCAAAATAACATGAGTTGACCACCTCTGGGACAGGAATTCACCGGAAAAAAAAAAAACGGTTATGAGGATGGACATTTGCTGCCTTGTACACAAACACAGCTTTACCTTCAAAGGGGGAAGAGAGTCACTAAAGCAGCTGTAGGTCCCCCCTTTCCCTCCACATTAGTAACATGCAACTACCCCATTTCCACCTCCAGGGCCAGACATTTCCAGGGAGTCTCACAAGCAGGAAAAGAGGAGACAAGTTCACACCACGAGCACAGGTTGAGAGGTGGCCACTGCATAGCAAAGGCAACCTCTGGCTTGGAGCTGCTCCACTGGCTCGGAGCTGCTCCACTGGCTCATCACCACTTGGTTAAGATGCCATAAATTAAACTGCGAAGAGCATGTGAGGGCAGAGGACCTGGAAACCAGATGTTGGTGGCTGGTGTCTGGGGTAGATGTCACCATCAGGACAACCTGGAGCTTCCAGAGCTAAAAGCAAAGGCTTCCCTGACATGATCTGAGTAATGAGGCTGGTAGGTGAGGGCAGATGGATCTCTGTTACACCTGCTCCCCTTCACGCACTGCCAAAATTACAGCAATGCTCCTGCTTGCTAAATATGATCCCCATCCCCTCTCCAAACAGCACAGTGTGGGGAAAAGCTTTGCCTTCAGGAAGGACTAGATGACTAATTAAGTGTCAAGGTCACTCCCAAGATTGGTTAATGAGTAACAGTTGGGGTGGAAGTGCCAGCAATCACTACTTCATTTTGGTCGAACTGGTACGTGTTGAGAAAGCAGACCTAGCAGGACATTTCTTCAGGCAGACTTAGGCTGTTTGGGTGGGGAGGGAAAATAAGGACTCAGAAGGGGGATAGGAGATCATTTCAAACTCCCAAAGTACGTTCTGAATTAAGCCTGATTTGGCTTGTCTGGGTTTTGGCGACACACTTACTCGGCTGTATTCACGGTAATAAAAAAACCCCAGTGAAATGACTAATGCTCTGTACAGCTTCGGGAAAATAGGAAGCAGCTGTGGCTCCAGCCTTTCCAGGCTGAAAGACTTAATTATTGGGAATACTTGGACTGGCATTAGATGAGGTAAACCAGGGCTGTTGAATTGCTTTCATTGTCTCCATTATAGTTGGGCATCTGGGCCCAAGTAGGTGCCATTTTTGTCTGCAGAGAGGACAGCAGTTAACTCTTGTTTTGTCCAGAGGAATGAAATTCAACACTGAGTTACCTTGCATGGCTCATCAGTTACTGCTTGGGACCTTTGCTTTGAACAGTTACTGTGCAGAAGTAAAGGACTCAATCAATATAAGCTGTCTTATTTTCCTGTTGCAAGAGGAGAAAAAAGTGGCTTTTATCTCATGTGGAAATGATAGGTTGGGAGGTCCAGCAATGGGGCTTGTCTTCTGTCTCATCTTGTCACACACTCAGTCACATAATGTCCTCCTCCAATTTTTTCGGCAGAAAGGCAAAGTTTGCATAGGTGAGAGCACCGGCGACATGCATATCCAGATGTGTATGCGTGTGTTGGTGACAGCTCCTATCCTCTTGCACAATAACAGGAAGGGTTGCAGTCAAAGAAGCTGAATCGCATTCCCTGTGTTGGATGTGCTGGGACATGGTGATGAAGCAGGGAATGGGATATGTGTTTTGGGGTGAGACAAAAGAGGGAAAAGTACAGCTTGGCTCACCCTCCTCCTCCAGGTCCCATGAGGTCCAGGTTCAGGAGCTCGGTGTGACCAGTGTGCCAAGGAGAGGGTTCTGCACAGACGCACCCGGCTGACCACAGAGAGCACTTCAGCCTTCCTGGAAAGAGCTGTTGCCTGGCAGCTAAAATTACATACAACAGGCCTTGAAATAAGATGCTATTTCTGATCACGGTGGGCAATTAAATACTGGAACAGCTTATTAGGGAAGCTGGCAGGCTCGCCTTTAC